TTCCTTCCTTCCTTCCTTCCTTCCTTCCTTCCTTCCTTCCTTCCTTCCTTCCTTCCTTCCTTCCTTTTTCAAGATGGTTTCTCTGTGTAGCCCTGGCTGTCCTGGAACTCACTCTACAGACCAGGCTGGCTTCCAACTCAGCCTCCTGAGTGCTGGGACTAAAGGTGTGTGCCACCATGCCTGGCTTATATTCTGTATTAAATCTCAACATATAATTCAATGTGGTTGGGGTTTTCTATTTTGCTCTGTTTATCTCTTTATGCATGTAACCAGTGTTAAACTAGTTTCTCTCCCTCTCCCTCTCCCTGTGCTGCTCTATTTTATAGCTTATTAGATTTTAATATCTGAGAGGACTAACCCTTATCTCATTGTCTTATTGACATTTTCCCCCAAATATACTTTAAATCAACTTGTTAGACTGTCTCACTATGTATTTAAGGATATGATATTTAAATCATTTTTCTTGTTTTATTTTTGAGATAAAGTCTTGATACATAGCCAAGGCTGAACTTGAACTCACAATCTTCCTGCCTTAGCCTCATTCATGAAGAGTCAAATTACTTGAATTAGTAACTGAATTAGTAACTAGCTGTATGGCATTGTGCATTGCTTCATCTTCCTCCTCCTCCTCCTCCCTTTTGTTCATGTACATTTGAGTGTGTACATACGCGCCCCCAGAGGCCGATATCGGGTATTTTCCTCTACTGCTCTTGTTCTCTCTTCATTCTGTTCCTGTAATACGGTGCTCATACCAAAAGCAACTTAGAGGGGGTAATAGATTTATTTCAGCTTACATAGTGCAGTCCATCATTGAGATGAGTTAGGGCAGGAGCTCAAGTGAGACCTTGAAGCAGAAACCTTGGAGGAATGCTGCTTGCTGGCTCACTCACAGACTCGGTCTAAGCTAGGTTTCTTTTGCATGCAACCCAGGACCACCTGCCTTGAATGGTGCCAGTAAAGTGGGCTGGGCCCTCCTATTAATAATTAATAATCAAGACAATCCCTTCTAGACATGCCCACAGGCCAGATGACCTGGACAATCTCTCAACCAAGACTGCCTTCTCTTGGGAATAGACTGTGCCAAGTTGATGGTTAAAGCTAATTACTACAAGTGATTACCATACCTTCTGAGACAGAATCTCTCATTGAACTTGGAGAATTTGGGGTTGGTTTTGATTTGAGAGACAAGGGTTCCTCTGTGTAGCTCTGGCTGTCCTGGAACTTGATCTGTACTGAGCTTGACCTCAAGAGATACGCCTGGCTCTATCTCCTGAGTACCGGGATTAAAGGCATGTGCCATCATGCTCAGCTTGGAGATCATCATTTTGGTTAAACTGGCTGGCTAGCAAGCTGTGAGAATCTGCGTGTGTTTGCCTCCCCAACACTGGAGTTGCAGGCGTGTGCTTCCATCCTCAGCTTTTTTGTGGATGCAAGAGATAGGAGCTCAGGTTCCCATGCTTGTACAGCAAGCACTTTACCTACTGACCCTCCAGCCTTCTGTGGTTTTGGAGACAGGTCCTCACTCTGCATTCAGGCTAGCCTCAAATGTAATTGCTTCATCTTGCAGCCCTTGCCTTTGTAATACTGGGGCTACAAGGATGAACCACTCAGCCTCTCTTTTTCTCATTTTTTTATTTTAAAATGTTGGTTCTGGGGATCAACCTAGGGCAGCGAAAGTTGTTCCCCGCGACTGCTCTCCATACCTGCTCTCCATCCTCCTACATCTCTGTTCTCTGAAGCTCCTCCTCTTCCTTTTCCTCTTCCTCTCCTAACTCCCCCCACCTTAGCTCCTCCTACAATACATCTCTCCTAGGGCTTTTCTGTATATTTTATTTTCTATATATTTTATAAGTAGAGTAAGTGAATTGCTTAAGACGGAGGGTAGAACCTGGCATATAAAAAGCACTTATGTCTTGCTGCTGTTGTGGGTGGAATGATTATTCTATTAGTTTTGTCATCACTGTGACCAAGTACTTAAAACTACTTCATGGAGGAAAGCTACATCCTGGCTCACAGTGTTAGAAGGGTTGGCCATGGTTACTTGGCCTCATACCTTTGCACAGAACATGAGGGTGGTAAGGGTATATGGCAGAGGAGCTTCCTCACTTCATGGTGTGAGAGGAGGACAACAAGGGGCCAGGTGAGATCCTGTCTCCACTGACCAGCCTGAATGCAACACTGAAGTTCCACCCGCTAAAGTTTCTAAAATTTCCCAAAATTGTGCTCCCATCTAGGGACCAAGTGTTTAGCACATGAAACCATTTTGATTTCAAACTGTAACTGGTATATAGGAAGAAAAGGTTGGCGGAGTTAATAGGATAGATTGTTTTATAAAATCTAGAGTTATTAATCCTCTTATATTTTTTTTCCCTTTAGGTGTGAAATGTTTCTCTTATTCTACAAGTGTGGTCAGCCTTGCATTTTTACCATACCTTCTCTCACAAAGTAATGTGATGTTTGGAAGTCTGCCTTTGCAAGTCTTATTTTACGGAGTCATGGGAAGCTTCACAGTGATCACTCCCACGCTGCTTCACTTTCTTACAAAAGGCTATGTCATTCGGTTGTACCATGAAGCCACAACTGACACTTACCGAGCCATTACTTACAATGTTGTGCTTTCGGAAACCAGCACAGTGTTTCACCAAGATGACGTGACAATTCCAGAGAGCGCACATATATTCACCACTTTTTATGCTAAAACAAAATCACTACTAGTTAATCCAGCACTCTTTTTAAACCCTGAAGACTATTACCATCTAATGGGTTATGACAAACCATTCACTTTTAATATGGAAGAAGTCAGTGAAAAGAAACTGGATGAGGGTGGAAAATGAACCTGTTCTTGTTTGTGCTTAAATGTCATATATTTTCAAAGTATAATAAGATTACCTTTATTTTGCTATTGTTAGTGAATGATTTAAACAAAACAAAACCAAGTGTAAGGGCTGAGGACACATCAGTTGGTACTGTGTTTGTCATATGTGAGGCCCTAGGATCAGCCTTCATGTAACCAGATGTGCTTCTATACACCTATAATCCCAGCACATGGGAGATGGAGGTAGGAAGATCATAAATTTGGGGTCATCCTTGGTAATGTAGTAGGTTTGAGGTCAGCCTGGACCTTGTCCTAAAAACAGAAGTTGAAACTATCAAGCAGAATTTCTGAATAATTTTTACATGACAGTGTTCTTATGTAATAAAATATGTTTAATTAAGAACAAGTTGTTTTTGTTTAAAATGTGGATGGTCATGTGTATTCTGGTATATGTATGACTGCATTTATTTACTTATATTTTGTTTTTAGAATCTCACTATGTAAACCGAATGCCTGGAACTTAATATGTAGACCAGTCTGACCTTGAATTCATAGAGATCTATCTGCTTCTTCGTGTGCCACCATATATGGGCCATGTATGGATAATATAAGAGTAGGTGCCTCAGAACTGGAGAGGTGGCTCAGCGGTTAAGAGGGCTGGCTGCTCTACCAGAGGTCCTGAGTTCAGTTCCCAGCAACCACATGGTGGCTCTCAACCATCTATCTATAAGGGGTCCGTTGCCCTCTTCTGGTGTGTGGGTGTATATGCAACAGAGTACTCATGCAGTAAATAAATAAAGGATTAAGGGATGCACCACTACCCAGCATGTGCTTGGGTTTTGTTTGGTTGTTTGGTTGTTTTGGGTTATTATTTGTTTTTAGTTTTTTTAATTATTCAAATAATTAAAATTTTACCTGTATGAGTGTTTTGCCTGCAAAAGCTAGAAAGAGGAGTTGAATCACCTTGCACCCGGACAGAACATCGTAAACTGATATGTGGGTGCTCAGAACCAAACCCTGGTCCCCTGTAAAAGCAGTGTGTTTTTTACTGAATCATTTCAGCCCCAGCATTTTAAAGTAGTTTGAGGATTCCCAATCTTTATAACTTGTTTTAGTCTTTTTTTTTTTTTTTTTTTTTTTTTTTGGTTTTTCGAGACAGGGTTTCTCTGTATAGCCCGGGCTGTCCTGGAACTCACTCTGTAGACCAGGCTGGCCTCGAACTCAGAAATCCGCCTGCCTCTGCCTCCCGAGTGCTGGGATTAAAGGCGTGCGCCACCACCGCCCGGCACTTGTTTTAGTCTTAACAAGAGACATATTTACAGTGTTTCTGTTGTTTTGAAATGGGGCTGCTCACTATATAGCCCAAACTGGCCTTGAATTTGAGCTGATCATTCTGCCTCAGCCTCCTCACTGCTAGGATTACAAGCAAGCACCAGCACACTCACTTAATGTTTAGTTGTTGCTTTTTAAAAAAACTTTATACTCTCATACATTACATTGTCGCGTCCACCCTCGTCCTGCAAGGAAGACGCAACACTCGAGCTCTTCTTCTATAGAGTGAAAAATTATAGATTCTGGGTATATAGAATCCTTTTTAGACATACAAAATATTCTTTAGGCTTTCTTTATAAAGACATGGAGAAATCGAGCCATGAAGCAAGTTAAGAATGTGGATAGACTAGTTACAGGAACTGGCTAGAATGCAAGATAGCCAGGTGGAACCAAGCTGAGAACCACAGTGACAGGGCAAGGCCACAGTGACAGGGCAGGACCACATTCTTGAGAAAGATAAGCGTACAGAGAGTTTTCACCTGATCCTGACTCATGTAGGTTGGGTTCCTTTAGAATGTTCTGCTATTTTTATGTTATGCCACCTTAACAACCATGAGCCCCCTCCCCATTCCTTGGTTTGTGGTTTTTCCCCTTAAAAGCCCCTCTCAAACTGGTTGTCGGGGTCAATTCAGCTCCTGCGTGGGCATACGAATTGACCAGCAGCTAGTTGTCAGGCCCTAATAAACCTCGCAATTGCTCCGGTACACGGTGTCTCGAGCAGATTACTAGGTGGTCGCGACTTTCTGAGACTTGAGAGAGGGTCTCCCCTCTGCGGAAGTCTTCACTTCTACAGTTTATTCAGGAACTTTTAACAATCTTCTGACCCCGGGGAGCCCCTGCCCACAGGCTAAATACTTCATGGGTGGCTGACCCCAGGATGCCACATGGCAAATACAGATAAGCACACATATGCGGAAGCCAAGCCAGGTCATCAGCCCAAGCCAAATAAGGCACAGAGAGTACCCGCCATCAGCCCGGGTGAAGGCGGGAACCAGCGCCATCTTTAAGGCGCTGCACCGTGCGGCTCTCCACATTACATCTCAACTACAGTTTCTCCATCCCCACTCTACCTCCCTTTTAAAAAAAAAAAAGCAGGCCTCCCAGGGATATCCACTGAACATGGCCTAAAAAGATACATTAAGACTGGACACAAACCTTCCTTCACAGTTGGACTCAGCAACCCAGTAGGAGGAAAGGGGTCCTAAGTGCAGGCAAAAGTCAGATACCCCACTCCCACTGTTGGAATCCTGCAAGAACACCAGTCCACACAACCATAAGTTATACGGACCTAGCTCAGACCCATATATGGTCCATGTTTGTTACTTTAATTTCTATGAGATCTTATGAGCCTTGCTTAGTTGATTCTGTGGGCTCTGTTCTCTGGTATTCCTGATACCCACTTACTTTTTATTTTTATTTTTTTAACAAAAGAACTGTAGATTTATTAAGGAAAAGTGGAGGAAGAACTCCCAAGAGCTGAAGGGTTTCAGGGGAGGAATATACCAGTTTTTACAATTTATACAAATGTTTAATCTTTAACAAAATACAAAAACATTTACAAGATGCAAAACCAGAAAATAAGTTCATTTGAGATATCAAGGTGTGTCGTACTGCCCTGCTTGCACATGGCTTTAAATGTCCTGCATACACGTGAGTACTTTGTCATTTGTGAAAAAGGTTTTATTAGTTTGTAACAGAGTAATCCAAAAGACATCTTGTTTGGGGTCAAGGAAGCCTTGAGTGGCTACGATGACCTCTGAAGGTTATGGTATAGAATGAGACCAGGATAGAGATGGGATCGGCGTTTATTTAACAATTTAACCATTTAACCACATCGCTTCGTTGGTTGCAATTTGCCAAGTAATCCCAATGTCCCTTGGTAGCTGGCCGTGGACAGGCACAGGGTGTTTGTCTGTTTATATTGTTGTTATTTAAAATCAATTTTAAAAACTAGTATTAATTCTCAGACCACATATTGCATATGTAGTAACTATATCTACCCATCATTGTACACATGAAGGTTATAGGAAATCTACAAAAGTGTTAAGGAGGCTGGTAAAGTTCCAATTGGCCATAAGGGAAAGGCAGAGGCAGAGCTGTTGCAGGTGTAACAGAAGAGGAAATATTGAACTCATCTGGAGAGCTGCTGAAGGTAGCAGAGCCACGGGACAGAGGTCACATAGATGTGTTACAGATGGACAGTGTCTTAGGGCTTTACTGTTGTGAACAGACACCATGACCAGGGCAAGTCTTATAAAGGAAAACATTTAATGGGCTGGCTACAGGTTCAGAGGTTCAGTACACTGTCATCATGGTGGAAAGCATGGAATCGTGCAGGCAGCCAAGATACTGGAGAAGGAGCTGAGAGGTCTACATCTTGATTTGAGAGCAGCCAAGGGAAGACTGTCTTCTGTAGGCAGCCAGAAGGAGACTGGATTCAATACTAGGCAGAGCCTGAGCATAGGAGACCTCAAAGTCTACCTATATAGTGACACACTTCCTCCAGCAAGCCCACACATCCTTTAATAAGGTCACACCTCTTAATAGTGTCACTCCCTATGGCCAAGCATTCAAACACATGAGTCTATGGGAGCCAAGCCTATTCAAACCACCACAGATAGGAATTTGGCTCATATCAAGTAGGGAACCAACCGAGTTGGGAGCTCTCTTACTGTAGGTCCCTTGAGGCACACAGCAGGTAGTCAGATGACATGTTGGAGGGGGGGATGCTGCCATTGCTGTTACTGTCTTCTTTATGGTGTCCACGTGGGGACACTGAAGCTTTTGTGTCAGTCTTATATGTTCTTTGGCTTAGTTTTTCTGACTAATTAGTTAATTAATTTATCTATTTGAACTCTGGTCTCATGTAGCCCAGGCTATCCTTGAATTCACTATTAGTTGAGACTAGCCTTCAACTCCTGATATTCCTGCCTCTGCTTCCCAAGTAGAGCTCAGTACTCATACATTGTCATATTTAGGCTGATATAGTTTGTTTTCTTTTGGTTTTTTGAGACAGGGTTTCTCTTTGTAGCCCTGGCTTTCCTGGAACTCACTCTCTAGACCAGGCTGGCCTCATATTCACAGAGACACTGGTGCTTGCCTCAGCTTCCTGACTGCTGGAATTAAAGGCATGTGCACAGCTAGTTTTAACATAGCCGTGTGCTATATGTTCCTCACCTTTTCACTTTTAGGGAGATTTTTTTTTTCATTCTGTGCCTCTGGTTTGTGCTAGACAAGTACACGTGTATATGCACCATGAGGTGTAGTCATATTACTCCATCAATGCACTAAAGATGAGGTAAATGCTGCTGTGTCAGCTGGAGTCACCAAGGTCAGGGAACACCCTGAAAGCCACTCTTTTGTATAATATGGAGTAAGTAGCATGGGGAACAATCTGATCTTCATAGAAACCTCATCAAAAGAAGTCAGGAGAGACAACTCATAAAATCGGATCTATGCACCATTCCAAAACGTGGGAGGCAAAAGGATGGCCTTGGAGGTAAAGAGGACAAATACTCTACATTCTTCCTTCATTTCACTTCCTTCTCCTCAGGGCAGGCTATCTATGAAGGAAAAGGAGGCAAATCTGTAAATAGATTCACAATCAATACATCTCGGTTGAGAATTGCTGTCTTAGAGACAGGGTCTCTAGGCAGCCTTAGCTGGCCTGGAAATCACAGATCCACCTGTCTCTGCCTCCTGGCACTAAAGGCACACACAGAGCCACCTCCTATCTTACTTTAAGGCTGGGGTCTCTCACTGACCCTGGCCCCAGGCATCATTCCATCTTTGCCTGCACTGTGTCTGTGATTCCAGCTGTATGCTGCATTCAGCTTTTTTACTTTAGTGTTGGGAATTGAACTCTGTTCCTCACACTAGAGGGACAAGCACTATGAACTGGGCCCTTCCCCCAGCCCCAATAATCCTTTTATTTAATGATGGTTTCATTGTATTGAAGGACTCCATTTTCAGAAGCAAAAATAACAAACTGGGGGCTGATGAGGTGTTTTAAAAGTTAAAAGTATTCGCTGGTCTTCCAGAAAACCCAAGTTTATTTTCCTGCATTCAAATAGCATACATAACTGTCACTTTTTAGTTCAGGGGATCTAGTATCCTCTTCTGGTTTCCAAGGACACCAGACTCTAACATGGCTTAATGAACATGATGCACAGACATATATGCAAACAAAACATATAAAATAAAAGTAAATATTTTTTAAAGATAAACTAGCCCTTAGGTACTAACAGCCTCAGCTTGAATAAATTGGCTAAAAATACATGGATATTTTTTGTTTGCTCGCTTTGTTTTTTTTCTTTTATTGGATTTTTTTGTTTATATTTCAAATGTCATCCCCTTTCCCAGTTCCCCCTCTGGAAACCCCTTATCCTAGCCTTCCTCCCCCTCCTTCTATGAGGGTGCTCCCCCACCCACCCACCCACTCCTGCCTCCCCACTCTGGCATTCCCCTACAGTGGGGCATCAAGCCTTCATAGACCAAGGGCCTCTCCTCCCAATGATGCCCAACAAGGCCATCCTCAGCTACATATGCGGCTGGATCCATGGGTCTCTCCACGTGTACTCTTTGATTGGTGATTTAGTCCCTGGGACCTTTGGTGGGGGGGGGGGCTGGTTGGTTGATATTGTTGTTCTTCCTATGGGGTTGCAAAACCCCTTCAGCCTGTTTATCCTTTGAGTAGAGGAAGGCTACTGATTTGTTTGAGTTAATTTTATATCCAGCCACTTTGCTAAAGTTATTTATCAGGTTTAGGAGTTCTCTGGTGGAAGTTTTTGGGGTCACTTAAGTATAGTATCATATCATCTGCAAATAGTGATATTTTGACTTCTTCCTTTCCAGTTTGTATACCTATGACTTCTTTTGTTGTCTAATTGCTCTGGGTAGGACTTTGAGTACTATATTGATTAGGTAGAGAGAGAGTGGGCAACCTTGTCTAGTCCCTGATTTTAGTGGGATTGCTTCAAGTTTCTCTCCATTTAGTTTGATGTTGGCTACTGGTTTGCTGTATATTGCTTTTTACCATGTTTAGGTATGGGGCTTGAATTCCTGATCTTTCCAAGACTTTTACATAAAGGGATGTTGAATTTTGTCAAATCCTTTCTCAGCATCTAGTGAGATGATCGTGTGGGTTTTTTCTTTGAGTTTGTTTATATAGTGGATTACGTTGATGGATTTTCTCATATTGAACCATCCCTGCATCCATCGGATAAAGCCTACTTGATTATGGTGGATGATTGTTTTGATGTGTTCTTGGATTCAGTTTGCTAGAATTTTATTAAGTATTTTTGTGTCTATATTCATAAGGGAGATTGGTGTCAAGTTCTCTTTCTTTGTTGGGTCTTTGTGTGGTTTTAGGTATAAGTGTGATTGTGGTTTCATAGACCTAATTGGGTAGTGTTCCTTCTGTTTCTATTTTGTGGAGTAGTTTGAAGAGAATTGCTATTAGGTCTTCATGGAAGGTCTGATAGAATTCTGCACTAAACCCATCTGGTCCTGAGCTTTTTTTGGTTGGGAGACTTTTAATGGCTGCTTCTATTTCTTTTTGGGGTTCTGGGACTGGTTAGATGGTTTATCTGATCCTGATTTGGCTTTGGTACCTGATATCTGTCTAGAAAACTGTCCATTTCCTCCAGATTTTCCAGTTTTGTTGAGTATAGGCTTTTGTAGTAGGATCTGATGATTTTTTGAATTTCTTTGGTTTTTGTTTTGGGGGGTTCTTAATGAGGTTTGGGTTGCCCTTCACCTTGTTACGTAGCAATTTCTGACCCTCTTGTTTCCACCTCCAAAGTGTTAAGATTACAGAAACATGCTATTATGTAGAGCAAGCTGTGTGTGTGTGTATTTGTATGTGGGTGGATGCCTGCCAAGGCCAGAAAGAGTCACATTCTTCTGGAGCTGGAGCTGTGAGCTTTCTGACGTTGATGCCAGGATTGGAACTCATGTGTTTGGTTTCAGACCCAGGGATAAGGGACTGAGGTGCATATCTAACATACCAAAGCAGATCTGGCCTCCAGGTTCTCCCAGCATCCCTCAGTTCCTACCTGGCATTCATACTCTGTCCCCAACCCTGAACTTTTCAGGAGCTGTGCTGCCCTTCCTCAAGAGGCTTTATATAGTCCAGACATTTTGGTCTCCCCACCCCTCTCTCTTTCTCTCCTTCTATCTCTACAAACACACAGAAGCCCTTTTCCTACCACTCACTCAGCTTGGTGACTCAGTGAGGCAGGCAAGCCTAGGGAATCTTTTAGGAACTTGGGACTCTGTTTGGATTAGATTATGTATACTCTCCCACACTCTGCTTTTCTCATAACAGTTGGGAGCCTACCTCCTTTACCTGTATGTACTGTGCATCATACCCCTACCCAAATAATGCACCTAGCAACCTTGAACATCCACCTGTGTGGGGTTATACATACTCCTTCTCTGAACAATGGTATAGGTATATCCTTCCCTTACAACCATCAGAGTTAGACACTTTCTATTCTCATGTATTCCAACGTATACAATCTCATCTGGCCTGATCTGGATTTGGGTACATACTCTGTATGGCAAACCATCCTATAAGTGAACTTTTAGGAAGAATCTATTTACCATATTATGCTAATGCACATTTGGGTATGTATATAATTAAAATCAGGTGCACCATGGGAATGGGCATGTGTAGTAGGAAAACTATTATATGACATAATATATTGATCAAAATAAAGAACCACTAAAACTATGCTCCTTAATTCAAGCTCATCCTTCCTTTAGGCCTGATGAAAAGAGTCCCCCTGCAGTCACCAGGTGCCCTGGAGTATCCTCATGGGACCCATTGCTCTCACAGTATAATCTGATCTTTTCTATTGCTTTGTTTTAAATAAAGTTGCCTTGCTCTTTTTTTTTTTTTTTTTTTTT